AGAAAGACCCTGAAAGAGGGAGATAGTAGGAAACAGAGGGAGTGGGGAAAATGGGGTATTCAACTGGGAAGGGAGAAGTGAAGGACAAGGGACCATGGGGTAAAGGAGAAGGAACTCAAGAGAGGGGGGATAATAGGAGACAGGTATCATCAAGGGGAAAATGGGGGTACTTAAACTGGGGAAGAAGGAGGGAGGTTAGACAGGGGGAGGGGAGGAGATAAATAAAGCTTAGGTATTAATCAAAAACTCCCTGAAAAATACACACACAATATCTGAACATGAGTGCATGTGTGTACCTGAAGGCTACATAACAAGAAACACTGTACCAGACAGGAGAAACCTCCCTTCCAGTTGTTGGTCAGGGTGGTCCAAGAGACCCCCAAAATAATATAGGCTATTGCCAGAGCCTTTGATTGCCTCCCAGAACTTGAAGGTAAGACCCTATTGCTGAAGACAGGACATACTTTAAACACAGGACTTGGAGAAATGGAGCAGGAACTGACCTGGAAGCCACTTCCATGAACACTAGCTGTCATAGTTCTAGAGGATACTATGCAAGCTGCTAAGGGAGAAAGATCAATGAATGGTCTGACCCAGTTGTAAAGCCACAATGACTGGCACAGCAAACTATCTCTATTGGTGCAGTAGCGGTGGCACTTCTACGTAGGGGGTAATCAATAGCTATCTAACTAGACTTAAAGCTCTCTCAATGCGGGGGAACTCATGGGTGGCACTGTATATACAGCCAAATACACATGGCTGGAGAGGTCATAAATCCCAGAGAAAATGCTATTTTTCTCATATCTCTAGATAAATGAAATTTCTCACTGTATGCTAAATATGGGTCCTTATATTTGCGGACAAGTATACCATACACCATCCATCAAAGAAACTTATTTTTGCAACAGACGGAGGCTATTACAGAGTTCTACAATTGGTCACACATAGAGAATTTATGTCTGAGAGATGCCCATCCCTAAGTGACACATCTACAGTGCAACCTCTACATACACCCAAGGTTCATGGAACACAGTGGGACGGGGTACGGAGAGTCCTAACACATCCTTCAATTCTCAACAGCAATGTTTCCTCATACAACAGAATGCAATGTACACGGAAGGCCGCAACTGGCGAAGTTTAGAGACTAAGAGACTGTAGAGTCCGTGTCTCTGGATAGGACTCCTATACTAAATCTCACCCACCCATGACTCAGGGACCATTGTGGAAGAGGGGGCAGAAAGATTAAAAGAGCCAGGGATGGCGCATGACCACAAGGAAACAGAGGCTTTCGGGCCTCTGGGAACTTGCTCATGAACTTGCAACAATGGTGACAGCATGCACAAGCTCCATGCTGACTCAATCAGGCAAAAACTCGGCATAGAGGAGGGAAAATGGGCGTAGAGCAGGCTCCAGCCCTAGCCAAGGAAATATTGGCAAATGATTACTATGGGTTGAGGGAGAGTAGACCTTTAAGGTAGTGACTCTAGATAGGGTGACTAGACTCCAGTGGATGAACTTGCACCAAGGGACATCTGGGTATAAATCTTTGACCAGATAGGACTTAACATATATGACAAAATGCATGAAATCAGGGAGGGGGGCTGGGGGGGGCTGGGAAGGGGGAGAGGGTCTAAATTTGATTAAGATGTGTTATATGAAAACACACAAAAACTCAATAAAAATATTGTAGAAGAAATATTTACATTATAAAAAAGAAAGACCCAGGGGCTAGACAGATGGTTCAGCAGTAAACAGCACTGGCTGCTCTTACAGAGGACTGGGGTTCGAATCGCAGCACCCACATGGTGGCTCAGAACTGTTTGTAACTCTAGTTCCAGAGGATCTGACACCCTCTTCTGGTCTCCACAGGCATTACACACATATGGTGCATGTACATACCTGCAGGTAAAACATTCATATACATAAAATAAGAAAAATTAATAAATCTTTTTTACAAAAGAAAAGAAGAAAAATTTGCATGGATAATCTGCTTTATTTGAGGAAATCAGAAAAAAGAAGAGGAGCAATTTCATCATGATGTCAACAAAAGAATCAAAACAGGCTGGGCACAGTGGTGCATGCCTGAAATCCCAGCACTTGGGAGGCAGAGGCAGAGGCAGAAAGATCTCTGTGAGATCATGGTCAACCTGGTCTCAATAGTGAATCTAGGCCAGCTGGGGCTACAGGGAGACCCTATGCCATTGAAATCTACCCGATGACTTTATAGATATACACAGGTGCCAAGGATCTGAGTGCAACCAACCATGACTAGTAATAATCAGATACATACAGATTAGAGATGCATGTGCCAACATCTCAGTGTTATTAGCAAAAACAATGAGTCTTTTTGTAAGAAACTGTATATTTTAAAATGAAAAGATCTTTTTTAAAGGTTAAAAACTCATTTACTTTTATGTCTTACAGGATTTATACTGAGTTCAATATTGTGTAACTGTATTAATTCAACAGTGAACCTAAAAATTTTATAGCCACTTTTGAAAGAGATGTATCTTTGCTCTGAAAACTATTATTGAGTGTTCTGGATAGCTTTAGTGTCAACTTGACACACCTTTGTTGAGGGAGCCTCAATCGGGGAATTGCCTCTATTGGACTGGCCTGTGGC